ACCCCCACAAAGTACAAATGTATACTTTGAAAATTCAAAGTATACAGTTACATCCCACTAGTCTTGAAAACCCAGCTGTGCCAAATTTAACCAAAAACGGAAATATAATACAATATAGACAGTGTTTAATGGCTTGTGTTGAACATTGTTCACTCTCAGGCTTTTCTCCCAAATTATTACATCTCCGAGTACAAGGTTCCACAGCACCTAGTAATAAAGGTGCAGTGCAGCCTGGGGTTCACTTTTCTGTAGTCTTTTACCTGTCTTCTGCAACTTCCCCTTAAGAGCTTAATAGCATAGTAGAGCTATGCAAAGATCTTGGTATAGTTGGTATGGAAGTGAACAAAACAAATTAGCCTCTGTTTAAGAAAACTACAGAAATAAAAGCACTTGGGAAGTTGATGGAGGCAATATGTGGGTAGGATTTTTTTTCTTTGAGTCAAGTTTTACCTTTGTCATCCTTTCTTCCCTTCTCCCCTCTATCTCAGATGTTGGAGCATGCAGTCTAATTACTACCTCGAATTTCTTTCTTTCTGTGATCATTCTGGGTTTTTTCATTTTCTCCTTAGAAATTCCTCTGATCAAAGAAAGTGGTCTTTCCCTGATTAAATATGTGGTCATTTAGCTCAGTGGAGGCCAGCCTTTTTTTAGCACATGTGCCACAAATTAGGCCCACCCCCAGTGCCACTTCAATCCCCTTCCCTTGTCTGATCTGCTGCTCTTTCTTCTCCCTGCCCTGTACCCTCTGCCTCTGCTGGTGCTCTGGTCCCTGCTCCCTGCCTTATCTGCCTGTCTTTTCCTCCTACCATGTGCCACACTCAGAGGCTTCCCATGCCACTTGGCATGTCGCAAATTGGCCACCCGGATCTAGCCTATCTTTCCAATGCAACATTGTTCCTCTATAGTTGCTTCATAATCATGGAGGAAGCAAACGAGAGAAATCAGTGTTGTATACTACTGAGGGAAACAGCAGGGGAGTTGGGAGGCATTGTCAGTATAGAGGAAGCTCACACTCCAGTACTGAAGAACTGATGATTTTGAGGACTGGAGTAATAGAAGTGAAATTGTAATTCAAAGCAATAATTGCAAGGTTGTGCACTTAGACGGGTAACAAGACTTTTGTATAAACTGGGAGTTTCCAGTTTGACTGAGGAGAGAGACTCGAAGTTATTGGGGAAAAGATTTCCATGAGGGCAGGAAGTATTAACCTCATTGTTTGAAGCGTGAAGCCTCATTTGGAATAGTGTATATTGTTCTGGTCACTGATTTTTAAGAACGATGAGGTTAAATCAGAACACAGAGAAGAGCCACTACTATTTTGGGGGGGAATGGAAAGCCTGTCTGACAAGAGGAGACTAAGGTGGATTTGTTCAGCCAGCTAAACTGAAGGCTGAGAGGGAATATGATTATTGTCTAGAAATCAGAGAGGAACATCAGGAAGAAAAAAAGGCATTTAAACTAAAGGATAATGTTGGCACAAGGCCAATTGATATCCATTGGTACATTAATTCATTTAAGGCTGGAAATTGGGAAGTTTCTAATCATTAGAATGATAAGGTTCTGGAACAACCTGCCAGTATGAGTAGTGGGAGCTAGTTTTAAGATCGAGTACTGAAGGAATTAGCTGAGATGGCTGTCTTCAACATAAGGGAAACTGGACTCTGTCTCCCAGGTGGTGCCCTCTACTACTGTGTTCCAGGTTCCTATGTTACTAAAATAAAATATTTTTTAGAGTAGACTTTGCCTGATGAAAGCTTCTCTTGCTTCTGAAAAACATTATTAATTGTCTTGTGGTCATTTTCAGAATGAAGCAATGACTGGATCCCATACACAAAACAGGGTTTTCTCTCGGATCACCTTAGCATTAATGGAGGATACAGGGTAAGAATTATCAATGCGACAAAACATTAGTCTTCAATTTCCTGCTTAGACAGTGTAATTATTATGGAGTTTAATGCGCTTAGCCATGATGCAGTTGAATGCATACCAATTAAGTGATCAACTTCTAATATTACTATACTACATATCTTACCTTCATTTTTCTTCAGATACTGTATCTTGTTGAATGCCACCTGTTGTTTCTCTATCCAGAAGTACCCACCTGTGTGTGTTCTGGTTTTCTATTGTTAAGTTGTACCTTTAATGTCAATGTCTCATCTCAGATATCTATGGCTGATACTGTCCATTCGCTCTACTGACAGGTAGGGAAGGAAATTCCATGCCTGGAAGAAGAGCAGAATTGGGCCAGATATAACCTTTGGATTTGAGAGTGGGATTTTTTTCTTTATATATGTCGGCTTGTTAAGAGAAATACTGTTTTTGGCATATTTATTCTTTATACAGGGCCCTGCGTATCTCTTTCCATGCATAGATGATGACTACATTAGCAAGTTTTACAAGCTTATTCTTTAATTATGTGTAATCTTGCATTGTACTTATACAACTTGCTTTCTATGCCGGGGGGGTATAACCTCCTTGTTCATATACTGAAAACCTTAATATATAGATAGATAGTACCAAGTTATTTGAATACTCTTCTAGGGATTTATAAGTAGACTAGTTTCTTAATAACTGTGTTCCTATTTCCAAATATTTTGACAGCTGGTATAAAGCCAATTACAGCATGGCAGAGAAATTAGACTGGGGACGTGGTAAAGGCTGTGATTTTGTTATGAAGAGCTGTAAGTTTTGGATTGACCAAAAGAGACAGAAGTAAGAATGCAACCTTTGTTTTTTTTTAAACTTGATATTCATCTGCATTTGTCTTTGCTTAAAATTTAGCAGCCTCACAAGGTGTAGGTTTTGAGTGTTTATGAGCCTAACTAGTGAGTAGTGTTAAGTGTTGTGATCTCCTATATCAGTCTCAGTAGGTGGTGTCCTTTAAATATAAAGTATCAAAGAAATGTAAAGCTGGTGGGGCCTCAAAAGGTCATCAGGTCTCTCTCCCTGCTCTGAAGCAGGATCAGTATATCTAGTAATATTAAGATTCTCAGATGAAGAATATTCCACACCGTTCCCAAGTAGAGTTGCAGCCTTGCAAGTGCTGAGTGGAGCAGAATGATGATTGTCCATGTTCTGTGACACTCCTGCTAATACATCCCAGAATGAGATTTGTTTTAGTAACAGCATTGCATTGTTGCCTCATTCAATATGTGTCCTTTTGTAACCCTTTTCTTGGGATTTTCCTTTTCTCACAAACTCTCTACCAGTCATTTTCCATTCTATACTTTATATATGTGATTTTTCTTTTCTACAAGTAATGCTTTGTACTTCTCTACATTGAAGTTTATCTTGTTGATTTTTTTTTTTAACATTTTCTCAGATTTGCCAAGATTTGTTTTGAATTCATATGCCGTCTTCCAGATTCCTTGCAGATCCTCCCAGCTTTGTGTAATATGCAAATTGTGTGTGTGTCAACTGTCCTCTCAGTTTGATATTCCATAGAAAGTAATCTTATCAGTTGCACTCCCGGCTCATGGTAACTTCATACAGACTGTATTTCCGTGGTTTGCCTGCAGGAATGTCACGAGACAGCATCAAAAGCCCCTTACTAAAATTAGCCTTCTTCCCTATTAGCCCAGTTCCCTATTAACTGTTAGGCCAGGAATCCTATTTGGAGAAAATGGACATTTGTTGTTGTTTTTTCTTGACAAGTCCATGTTGGCTGATACTTCCCGCCACACCAACCCCATCCCCACACACACACTTTTGTGTGCATATATAAACTGATTGATGCATAACTTGTGCTGATCTTTTTCTGGGCACTGAAACTAGGCTGACTGATCTAATTTTCCCCAGCTGCCTGCTTTTTTAAGTAGATTCGGTACTTGCCCTATTCCAGTCCTTCTCAGACCGCCTGTATACTCCATGAGTTCTCTCAGACAATCGGTAATGGTTCAGTGACTGCTTGGGCTAGTTTATTAAGCATGCTTGGGGTAAATATCATAAGGTCCTGCTAACTTTTAAACCATTTAAAGATTATTCAGTCTGTTCTTTCTCAATTCTGCTCTGCCCCCCACCCACATTCTTGTTAGAACTGAGCGAAACGTGTTCAGATGATGACCTCTTATTCAAGCTAAATTAAAAGTGTATCGAATACTTCAGTATTTTGTATCAGGGCTTGTGCTTCCCTTTCCCATTTCCATAATCAGCCAGTACTTTTTACTTTGTCATCTTCATACTTGAAGTTCAAATTATAGAACTTGACTACTGTGACATCACCTTTCTCTTTTCTTTTTCACATTAGCCCAGGTCAATCTCTCTCTCTTCCATCGAGACCTGACATGTTGATGCACAGTACAGTGCTTTGTCCCTAAGTAAATGAGCTGTGACACTTCTGTATCCTTTTATGTATGTTTCTGAGAGTCATCCCAGCCATTCTCTGCCCTGCCCATGTAGCTTGCTTGTGTAATTATTCACTGTACTTTTATGTTAAGGGATAGCCGTGGTTAGGTCATGGGCAGCAGTAGTGAGCAAGTTCTGTTCTGTGGGTTACATACTTGCTCTCCCTTTCCATCTCAATTTCAAATTTCCTGTGCCAGCAAGCAATGCTGCAGGGTCTCCCAGGCAACTTGGTATGAGCCATGGGTTGGGAGCCATTATATGTGCATATGGAAAGCTCAGCAGGCTGCTCCCTGTGCACAGATGCACTCCCTTCCTCCTCAGGGTTTCGCCCTTGCTCAAGTCACTGTTTTCATCTTCTGTAGAATTATATCCCTGTTCCCATTTGGATCTAGTCTGAAGACCTTCACCAAGCTGGGAAGTTGGTACCTCATGGTGCTTTTTCCACTCTTTGCCTGCAACCCATGTCTGTCCAGTAATCCTACTTTGGGAACACCACTATAACACCTTCTGTGCAGTCATGCATTCACCTCCAGAATGCACATGGGCCTTTATCCTGAACTGGAAGCCCAGACAAGCATTACTGACTACTTGACCCCTGCCCCCAGAGCCTGGTAATCACTTTTGATCACCACAGGGTCATATCTGGTGTTGTTATTAGCGTCCGCATGGATGATTAGCATGAAGTAGTTGTCAGGTGGCTGGATGAGCCTTTGAAGGGAGGCTCTGACACCACCACCATTTATTCAAACTGTAATTAAACTTCCAGAATTCTGGAGCGTTCGTCTGGCTGGCTGACGGGACAGATTGGCAGGACAGTTAGTAGCCTCTTAATAGCCTCTCTCAATACTTCAAAATATTTCCTTTTTTTTAGGTGTCTTGATTTGATTGCCTTGAGGCTATTGTGATTTGCATTCGTTGCAGGATGTTTTGACAACTTACTGTGACAGTTGTCTTTCATTCTGGATACTGATTTTAGATTGTACACTTCTGTCACAGTTTTGCTTTTACTATCTTATAATGTTTTGGTTTGGTTTGGAAAATGGCCTGTGGTGGTTTACCTTCATTAAGTGCAATTAATGGTACTTTTAAACTTCTTGCTTACACCAAGTTAAGTCCATCTTCAAATTTGGGCCCCACTGTTTTACTCGCTCAGATATTTATATATTGTTGTGAGCTCACCACTCTCGCTCACGGGGGGCATAAGTAATAGTAACTCAGTTATGACCCGGTAGACAGAAGGCTTTGAATTAGAAAATATTGTGTTGGTAGGTATCAAGGTGAGTTTCCCGTGGTGTTCAGGATCAGCCTAATGACACTAATGAGCTTGGCAGCTAAGCAAGAAACCAATCAATGTCCATCTTACACGGGAGAAAATGGATAATGCCTTTTTAAAATCCCCTAGCAAAAGCAACTCCATATGAACAGTATCCAGTTTGACTGAGATTTTTTTTTCCACCCCACTTTTTTTTTTTTGAAGGAGGCAATTGGTGGCCCCGTATTGTGACACTCTGCGGAGTAACCCGTTGCAGCTAACTTGTAGACAGGACCAAAGGGCGGTAGCAGTGTGCAATTTACAGAAGTTCCCAAAGCAGTTGCCTCAGGAGTACCAGGTAAAATGCATCTTACTCCACTGAACAACTCAAATAATTTTTAACCAGGCAGTTGCTGTAAGAGGTGATTTTTTTTTTTTCTTTTAAGTCCATTCAGAATCATTTGTTGGAGACTTGTGTTGCTGAAAGTGTCATCCTTCAGAGGAGAAATAAAATGGGCATCTGAAATGTTATACTTAAGACGTGATTAACTGGTTAAACAGATCTTTAGTGACCTGGTCACACATTCCTTCAATTAATGGTGTGATAAAACCAGGTATAAGCAACAAAGTATTGCACAAAATTACGTGCACTAACTTTGTGGCTGGTTCCTGTGACTTCTTTAACTGAACACATGGCCAGTACTCCCAGCCTCCAGAGCACGTTCCCATGTACTCCGAAGACTGGGAATGCCGGTTAGTTGATTGGGGCTCCCAGCAGCAGGAGCACAATGAGCTCCCCCTACTGGGACCCCTGATCAGCTGACCAGTGTTCCCAATTGCAGGAGTGCAGGGTGGGCTAAGAGCTCGATTGCTAATAGGGCTTCCTGTCGTGGGGCTCACCGTGCACTCCCAGAGCTGAAAGCTCCAGTCAGCTGACAGGGCTCTCAGCCGCAGGAGCATAGCATGATCCCGGACTCCTCCTGCACTGCCAGTATGACATAATGGGGTCTGATGCTCAATCCCATAATCACACGTCCATTGTTGGGATCATGCATTACATCTCGTGCTGCCGCCTTTTTAACATCTGTTAGTGGCATGAATTCCTTATGGCAAATCAAAAAGACTGATAAGAATCTTTTTAAAGAGCACTGGTTTCTATCTGAGGTGGTCATTCCTCCCTATATTATGTTTCTTTGGGAGTTTTCTCTAAGTCATTTCTTCAGCTCCTTATCTCAAGTGTTGTGTAGTGACACTGTATCGCTAAAACAGGTGCTTCATTGTAGAGATGATTGTGACTGGTGGAGAAACCATTCAGACAGAGTATTCCCATGCACTCAGACCTTTAAAATGCATTGGAATCCCTCTGGTTCAAAGGCAGTATCTAATTGTAAGTGCCTATTACCACTGTCCATAGGCAGTACCCACTGTTGCTAGAAGTTTGTAATAATGATATTATTAATTAAAAACAAAGGATGCACTTTTCCTTGTTACACAAGGTGTTTCACTGTATGCATTTGTTTTGTTTTTCAGTACTTTGACAGTCTCAGTGGAGTACCAATGGAAGACTTGCCATATTATGGTGGCTCAGTAGAAATTGCTGATTATTGTCCTTTTAGTCAAGAATTTAGCTGGCATCTAAGTGGTGAATTTCAACGCAGCTCAGATTGCAGAATATTGGAAAATCAGCCAGGTGAGTTTCCACTGAAGTATGTTTCCAACATGTGGTCTTTTGTTGCTGGCTCACATGGATGGTTTTATCTTGATTCTTATACTTGCAGTTAAGGACCTGGGTCAGAAGACAGTTGGTTTTGCAGTGTTCAGTCCATGTTCTGTTGTTAGATTTGTTAAGTTGATCTTTTTTCCTTCCCTTCTTTATTCCCAACATGTCATTTCAGCTCCGTTTTTTGGGTTTTTTGTACAACTGGGGAAGACTAGGTTCAACATGTCTGATATTTTTCTTATGCATTCTTACGTAATTTGAACAATGTGATGAATTCTTATACTACTAACTTCTCAGTGGCCTTCTGGGACTCATAAACATAGCATACACGGCATCTGTGAGTGCTTAGCATGCTAGGAATTCATTTGCAGTACAATCAAAGGCCTGTTTATTCTAATATTAACAGCAATTGACTTATTCTTCTGGATACTAAATTATTCAAGAATGCATCATTCACAAATTGGTATCCTCTAATATTGCATGAGCAGTCTGAAAATAAGTCTTTTCTCTTCAATATTTCTGTTCAAGCTGCCCTTAAGAATATTGACTCTCTTGGCATAGCTTTAGAGAAGAACCATTATATCGTAAGTTTATGAACCCGAGTTAATTCTTTAGAAATGTGTTCTTCTTTTCTTTAGATCCTTTAAAAAATTACGGTGCAGAGAGATATGGCCCAAACTCTGTGTGTCTTATTCAGAAATCAGCATTTGTTATGGAACAGTGTCGAAAGAAGCTCAGTTACCCTGACTGGGGTAGTGGATGTTATCAGGTAAGTGATAGATGATATACAGTTTGTGCTGTGGGTTTAAATAGGTTAAAGATGCTTAACTGTGTTTTCCGTAATATCACATTGACCTCATCAGATCATCCAAAGGCTTTTGCCTGCTTTGAATTTTAAAGTTCTTCTTGAAAAAAACATGTAACTTAACCTAGGCACTAAAATGGAAAATAGCAAGCTAAAATTGGGTTAAGTCCACAGCTGGGGGAGAGCTGTATGTTGATCCTAACTCTACTACAGATTTACTCACTTAGTTTCCTTTTATGTTTCAGTTTCCACAATTTACATGGGAGACTTATGTTTCAGTTTCCACAATTTGCTTAAGTTTATGTTGGGAATCTGTCCCCACAGGAGTATTGAAGCTGAATTCAAGTTTGTGAATCAAATTGAATTTTGGAGGTGGACATGAAATTTGAACTTGGTCCACCTTCATCAACTTGGAAGGTGGAAGGCACTGGCTAGGTGTAGGGTTTCTTTCATAATTGCTAATCTCTGGGCTGTATCACTTAGGGTTCTGAAAGTTGGGTTGAAAGTCAGCACACTTAAATGTGTTCATAAAAAGGCACTGCCAGATTCTTTATTTGGTCAGCATAATCACATAGAAAAATACCACCAATCCTTAAAGATTCCTTGAAAGAAAATAGATCAAAATAACTAATTATTTTTAACTTAATACTATTTGTTTCCATTTCATCTCTGCTGTATGTGAGCCAAATATTTACTGGACAAATTAAAAACAAGTGTCTGATGATTAAACAGACTGAGACAAACTTTTGGTTTAATACACCAGACCTGACTGTGTTTCTTTATTTTAAGGTCTCTTGTTCTCCCCAAGGGCTGTATGTCTGGGTCAAGGACACTCCATACTTGTGCAGTCGCTCAGGCCAAGTATTAACCGTTAGCATTCAGTTGAATGGCTGGGTGCATGTTGGGAATCTGATTTGTCCAGCCTGCTGGGATTTTTGTGATTCCTGTCCTCCTGAACGGGATCCTCCAGCTTCTAACTTAACAAAGGTCACACAGATTGGTAGGTTGCCTTACAATTTGTTTGCATGAAACAATAGGGAAAGCACCCCAAAACTTTGAATATTTCTCTCTCTCTCTTTTTTCTTTTTTTAATCAGTATTGAAAAAGTGTCACCAGGGTTTGGCAGTGTGAGTAACTTCTAAAATAACTTGTGGGTTGCATTTTTGTGAATTAGAAAATCTAAACAACTTTTATCTTGCTATAAACATCTTTCTGAAAAGTCTACGTCTAACAAGTAAATAGGAAAGGGAGGGTCAGATCTTTTTTTATATCTGTTCTGTAATGCAGAAAACTTTGGGAGGAAAGGGAGCATAGTCAGAGTGGTTGCATCTTAATGCTGTTTGACCACATTTCCGCTTGTCTGTGGGGAGAGAACTATTTGGAACAAACCTGGCTGAAAGAGGGAGCCACTTCATGTGGTGTCTTGCATCCTCTAGAGGTCTGAATATGTCCCATTTTTAGTCCTAGTGGGATAGTGAATTAGCACTAGGGGCATGTGAAGCAGGCAGTATTTGATTCAAATTCGGCCAATTTGGGGGACAGCGATTCGATTCGCTGATTCAGATCACTGTCCTGATTTCGATTTGGCCGAATCTGAATATTCGAATCTGATTTCAGAATCAGCAATTCAGCCATAGACACAGCTTTATATGTTTTTCCTTTTTCTACGTACCTCGAGGTACCAGGTGGCTCATGAATGCTGAGATGGTAGGGCAGATGGAGCATCCCATGGCGGGGGGGGGGTCCACTGCCAAGCGTGCAGGGGACCCCCCACTCCTACCCCCACCCCGGCATGGTGATCGGCACCAGGAGGCACCAGTCACTGGGGGGGGTCCCCCATGCTCCTGTGGGGTGCTCCATCTGCCCCACCATCTCAGTGTTCACGAGCCACGCCTGGTACCTCGAGGTACGTAGAAAAAACATGTAAAGCTGTCTATGGTCGAATTTCTGCAAATCGAATTGGAGGTTTCCAGTTTGATTCGAAGAGATTAATGGGTCTCTCGATTCAATTTGGAGATTCAGCTGCCAAATTAAGACAAATCTCCTCCAAATCAGATCAGCAACTGAAGCGTCGCACAGCCCTAATTAGCACTTCTATCATTTCGCATGTGAATTTGACCTCACAGGGGTAACATCCCCAAAAATGTGAAAGACTACAGGGTTAGCTGTTTGACAGCAACAGGCGGTTTGACCTCGGGGATTTACAGCTTCCATGTTATAATAAACCAGTTACTTTTCTAAAATGGAAGTTGATAAAAGAAAGTAAAAACCTTCATGTTGTTCAGATTAGTGCCATGCTCCTTCTCTTGAATGCTGAAATTATTCCAGTGTCCCAGATTGGGGTAAGTACACCGTGCCCATGTAAACCTTTCCTCCCATCACCATGCTAGATTTGTCACCACTACTGTCCTTAATGTTTGTGCACTGTTGTTTGGACAACTGCTTTGTTCCATCCATGTGGCAATATTTCAGTGGTGGGATCCTATGACCCCAGCTGACTTCCTGCCCCTGGGGCAGGGGGCTTGACTCGATCTTCTGAGGTCCCTTTCAGCCCTAATGTCTATGAAATCTATTAAACAAACAGAAGTGGCTTTTAAAGTATTTAGCATGGTGCATACCGTATTTTCTTGCATGCAGCATGTTCCAAATAAAACGCGCATCTTTGTGTTTGGAAGGCAGAATGTAGAGAGAAACATTTTCCAAAGTCCTGGCCGACTATGACATAGAGTAAGTCCTCCTGGCAACAATGTGTCCAGAAAGTGTGGCACCAGGACTGATGCTAGCTACTGCATTCACACTGTCTTCTGGGTGCCACATTTCCCAGACACGCTGCTTCCAGAAGGACTTGCTGTGTGTCGCACAAGGTTAGGCCTCAGACCCTTGCAAAGGCAGTAGAAAGGCTGTTAGTTCTTTACTGTAAGTACCATAGTACTTTATACAAGTTCCTGTAGATAGGCTATTTTCATATCAGAAGCCTCATCAAGCTATTTCCAGCTTCAGGTACAAGCTACGGTGCTTAGCCAATAGCTACGGCTGCAATAGGATTAACAGAGCACTGCCCCATCTTGGCAGCCCTTTTGGCAACTGCATGGCATGCACCGCATCTCCAGGCTTGCTTTTTCTGAGAAAAAAGGGGGGGAAAAAAACAAAAGCCCAGCTTTCCCACTTAAACAAAAGTAATGTTCGTGTTTTATAGGGTGCTCTCTATAGATGTCTGGAACTGTTCATGAATGTTTTGTTTTACATTGTTTTATGTTTTTGTGTTATGATAGTATCACGCATTTTACTACAGATCAGTGGAAGAAAATTACTGAAAAGTTAGAAGGATGGGCCCCCCTGGAAAGTTCTCTTTTTACATTTTTAGTTATGTTTTTAATTTACATATGTTTGTATCTCAGTCTAGTTTATAAGTAGTAAGGAAACAGACTTTTTTTGAAAGCCTGAGACATCAATCTTTGTAATGCTTATTCTTTCCACCTTCCTCTTTAAATGTCCTTTTTTGCCATACTATTATATACACTTTTGGCCCTCTTCTAGTTGGTATTTCTGAAATGGTAGATATAAGAAGTATATTGTGCTGCTTCTGTCTCAAGAGCTAGGCACACATTGACAAAGTTCCTCGCCTTTAAAAGGCTAAAATGCTTTATTATAGATTAGCCTACTTCTAAGTGCATAGCTTAAATATATTCTTGTTTTTCTCTATTCCAGATCTATGCTCCTGTTCCTCAAGCCTGGTGGTAACCCTCTGGTTGTTGATGGCTAACTTGTTCCCTCTGCTAGCTGGATTCTTCCTGTGTGTGTGGAGCTAGGTGTGGATAAAAATGTACTCCAAGACACACAACCCTCAGGCTGCAGTCCTCAAGTTAGAGTACAACCATAGAGCAGCACGCTGTCCACACCAACAGCGGTCTCACATTGAACAAGCCGTTCGTTGTTCTGTCTCAAGACAGGTAGCTCTACTGATTGTAGCCAAGGAGATGCTGATAGCAGCAGCTAGGTCATCGAAAGAAGGGCAAAGTTTACTATGTCATCTCAACAAGTGCCAGTATTTTCTGAATTCAAATTTTTTAATTTTGACGACACTAACAACTTTGGGGATCAAGGGTGCTGGTTATATTCGGGAACCTGGCAACTATGTCTATGAAACCTATGAACTCAATTGTTAATGGCAAAGATGTGAAACATGAACTTTTCTGTAATGCAGCTTGGGTTTGGTTTTGTTAAACCTTTTATGTGAGTGATAGCAGGGTGCTTAAAAGGACATCCTCAAGCTAGAGATATACCTCAGTGTTTCTTTAGTCAAAAGCCATGTACAAGGTCAGTTGTCATCACTGCTAGTAACTGTGGCTCAAACAGGCTTTTACTGTATTTCAGTTTACAGGAAAAAAAATAAGACTAGTTTGATATGGGATTGCTTCCAAAATTTCAATTTGTGCATTGCAGCTCAATGAATGGATGGTATTTGTTGTTCCTGATGCGTCTGATCCCTTGCATTCATTTAAACTCTTAACAGATGCACAAAATGCATTTTTTTTTGTTTAACAAAGGAAGCATTTTAGAAATCCCACTCGTTTCATGTGTGCCAATCCTGATGCAAAATTTGATGCATTAGATATTTTAATCGTCAGGGTAATTCATCAGGCTATTACACTTTTGATACCATGTTCACAATATTTCACTCTACTTCTGTAGCTTTTATCATTTAAGTTCAGTAACTCCAGATGCCAGATCAGGATGAGGTTTTTTTTTAGTTGCACTATGTGGTTCTTTGCCTACAGAGCAATGAAATAAGGGAGGCTTATTCTGCATGTGAATGTAGAGGGTTGTACTAGAATTTCACTTTCCATTGGGAAAAAGTTAGGGGTCGCCACTGTAGTCTTAAAGGAATAATGTTGGTCTTTTTAGATCAAAACACGACCAGTGTTCCCGCCCCCCCCACCCTAAAAAATTCCAAAAAACAAAAGAAATGCCTGGCTCTTTTGATGGACATGTAGCAGATCTCTGACATTGTACTAGATGTGCAAGTATCTAAAATAAGGGAAGGCAAACAACTACACTTGAACCGCACATGGCCAAATTGTGCTCCTATGGCACACCTGCTGGTGGTGGCCAAAAGCTATTAGATCTAAGACTTGATTAGACTTGTTGCTCTGGCAGTCGCTGCCCTTCCAATCTTCAGTGCTAGATGGAGATACAAATAGCTCTGGCTTAGAACAAAAGAGCTCTAAGGCTGGCCCTGTTCAGCACCTGCCCTGCTGGTGGTTGTAATTTTAGAAAACTGTTTGTGGCAGCTGTGAGGGAGCTGAAGTGCTAAGGTGGAGCATAAATCTCCAATCCTTCCTTTCCAGTTCTGCACTCTGGCAATGGATCTGCTTGCTCCCTTTTATTAAGACAGGGAAATGGGGTGAAATAAAAATCCTTTGGCTCCTGGTGAATGATCAGTAATTACCACTGGAGACATGTGAATGTTGAGGGAAAACCTTTCTACAGAAGGATTTTTTGTAATGCAGCCGAAGTGAGGCCCCCAAGCTTCCTAAGACATTTAAACTTAAATTAGGCTACTTCCCTTCTGACTTGATTTTGCTTTAAATTATACAAGGCCTAGATTAGCCTTATAATCTAAGGGTTTTTTTAAGCAATACAATTAGGGATCAAATGCTTTAAATATGCACAAATTAAAATTTAAGAAACACTGAAGAGAAGATGAATAGAGACTGAATAGATGAATTAGACGCTGATTATTTTGCTATATAGCATACCTGAGTCAACTACTAGTGTGGAATGACTTCAAAAATTTCTACTGGTCTGAGAAGACTACTTCAGTCCCAGAGATCGATACTGTATCCTTTTGTCTGTTGTGCAATAATAGAATTTAAATAGTATCACACAACAATGATGCTTTTGATACTTGAAAACTTCTGGGGGTTGTGGGTTTGTTTGTTTTTCTTTCCCTTGGTGTAAAATATTTGCACTGTCTCAAATTTCTGATTCACTTTGTATCTGTTAAGCATTTTTACTAGTGTTAACTTATTGTACTTGGCATTTGATATACCCGTCTGCTCTGTGTTCATGTGAATCTTGTTGCCGTTGAGTGAATAATCTTGTTTTCAGTTAAGCAGTTGTCTACCTTGAATTTTCATGCTCTCCCCAGAGGATTAAGTAAAACCTGAAAGCTGGGTTGGGATGTTAGTGCGTGCCCACTTCTGCATCGTATCCTGTAAGCGGTGAAAATGCCTATAGCTGTATTGTATATACGGAGAAAGCTTTCCTACCTTTCAGAGCACTTGCGGGCAGGGCTGACAGTATGTGCTGAGTAGCTGCTATAGTGTATCTAATGAAGTAAAAAAATAATTGCCTTAATAATCTGAGATTTCAAGTTCTGGTTTCTGAGTACATGCAGCGGTTAAGGATCCAGCTGGCAGTTGCAGAACTGGAAATTAACTGCCTGGAAAAATATACTTCGGTTGATTAAATCAAACACTTTGTGCCCTGTTAGTAAGCGAAAATTGGTAGCCCCATTGTAGCTGAGGGACAGCAGATGGGTGTATTGCGATCACCCGTAAGGTGAGAGCAAAGAGGTGCCTGTCAATAAATGGGAATAGCTCTTCTCTCTTGGAAGACATAACTGACTACCTCAGTTCGATATTTTCTTTTGGTTTAATTTTTTTAACATAGTTTTAACTTTCAAATCTCAAAGTGAGTTAGGTAAAAATGTGGCTCAAGTTTTTAAGAGCAGGATTTAATCCAGTAGGAAGCATAAGCCATTTCAGGATGCAGAGTGTGGCTGGAAGTTGTGGTTTAAAATCATGTCAGTAGCCTCATATGTAGTCTCCCCAGTGAAATGTGTGTTGCTGGGTTTTAGTAACCTGAAGGCAGCTACTCTGGTTCTCTGGTTGCACTTATTGTGTGATGAACTTACTGCATTTTTTGTGTAAATACAATTTCAACCATATCCCAAGTAGGCATTAATTTATTCTCCAGAACAGGTAGCATTATTGCCAGTTTTCTTCCTGGTGTAGCAAATAATTTATTTGGCTTATTGTAGCTGAGCCTTCTTGATTTAATACAGAAATGTACAGAATATTTTATTTTATAAAGTACCACTTATTTACCTAAAGGAAGAAATGCCACAGCTCTCAAAGGGGTTTGAGGGTTTTTTTTTCTCCCCTATTTTAGATCCAAGACACTAATTGAAAGACACTTATATTAGGTAGGAACATGCTAGTGGTGCTGATTGGAAAGAAGTAGAGAGAAGCAGGGGAAAAATAATTCTTGGTCAAAAAATATGTATGTAATTAGGAAAATTCCCTAGCTCATCAGGCAGTTCTGCCTTCACTGAACGAGCTGAGCTCCTGGGAGGACTTTGAGGCCTGGATCTGTAGCAGGGATGTAAAGAGTTTTGTCCTGGTGTTTTCTCTGACTGTTGGTACAAGGTAATTGGGGTTTTTTTATATGGACTAGTAAATTAGAAGTAAGCACATCATCTAAAAATAAGACAAGTTAGTTGTCCTTTATATGTGAAGGACAGTGCCTCTTTTCAAATATTTCCTGTCCTTCTGAAAATCTTTTCTACTCAAACGTATCTTTTAGTGAAGTTCAACAGGCATAGCTCCGTCTTAAAATTTCCTATTGATGTCACATTAGTAGACTAGCTGATCAGTTTAGGACTCTGACCCTGAAAAATGAAGTCAGTGGTTTTTGACATCAATTTGAGGGTTGCCTGGATATAGCACTTTGCGGGATTAGGGCAATATAATATGTGTATATAATACACTGCGTTCCTACAGTCCACTTTGGTGTGATCTACAGCATCACGCTTCTGTAGTACAAATGGCGGGTGGGGGTTGGGTTGGTTTTTGGGTTTTTTTTAACATAAAGCTTATCCTCAAAATAGAAGTAACGTTTTGGATGAGAGAACTGACTATGACATTAAGCATGAATGTTTCCTATTTTGTTACAGAATGTAAATATAGAATAAATTATTTTACATTTTTTTTATGACTGGAATTGAGACGCAAGGGCTAACTTTTGTTTGCAGTCTTTATCGAGTAGAATATTTTATTTTCGTGTGGAAGGTACTGCCAGCTTAAATAATTGGAAAGTTCTTGTACTTCAATAAAAAAAAAAAAAATCTTGTCTAGAAAATGGTGGCATCTTAAATCATCGAATCATAGAAAATGAGGGTTGAAGGGACCTCAGGAGGTCACATCTAGTCCAGCCTCCTGCTCAAAGCAGGACCATCCCCAACTAGATCATCCCAGCCAAGGCGTTGTTGAGCCGAGTCTTAAAAACCTCCAAGGATGGAGCTTCCACCACCTCCCTGGGTAACCTGTTCCAGTGCTTTAACACCCTACCTATGAAAGAGTTTTTCCTGATATCTAACCTAAACTTCCCTGCTGTGACTTGAGACTGTTGCTGCTGATTTTCTCATCTGGCACCACTGAGAACAGTCCAGCTCCATCCTTTTTTGACACCCCCCCCCGCCCCCTTGCAGGGCGTTGAAGGCTGCTGTTAAATTCCCGCTCAGTCTTCTCTTGTCCAAGCTAAATAATCCCAGTTCTTTCAGCCTCTCCTCAAGACATGTGCCCCAGCCCCCAAACCATTTTGACTGCTGTCTGCTGGACTCGCTCCATTTTGTCCACATCCTTTCTGTAGTGGGAGGGTCCAAACTGAACACGTGACTCCAGATTTGGCCTCACCAGTGCAGAATAGAGAAGAAGAATCACTTCCCTTGCCCTGCTGGCTGCACTCCTACTAATGCAGCCTAGAATGCCATTAGCCTTCATTGCAACAAGGGCACATGTTCAGCTTATTGTCTATTGTAACCCGTAAGTCCCTTTATGCAGAGCTGCTGCTTAGCCAACTGGTCCCCAGCCTGTACTAGTGCACGGGATTGTTCCATCCTAAATGCAGGACTTTGCCCTTCTTATTGAACCTTATGAGCTTTCTTTTGGTCCAGTCCTCCAATTTGTCAAAGTCTTTCTGAATCCTAGCCCTACCCTCCAGTGTATCTACTATACCTGCCAGATTGGTTCTGAGGGTGCACTCCATCCCATCTTCCCAGTTGTTGATGAAGATATTGAACAAAACTGGCCCCAGGACCAACCCCTTGGGCAGTCCATACTGGTCGCCAACTAGATTACTACCCTCTGAGCCTGATGATCCAGCCAGTTTCCTATCCACCTTTATAGTCTATTCATCCAACTTGTACTTCCTTAGCTTGCCCGCAAGAATGTTGTGGGAGACCTGGCTAAAGTCCTTGCTTGTGGGGAAAAGCCTTGCTAAAGTCAAGGTAGATCACATCCAGTGCTCTCCCTGCATCCAAAGAGCCAGTCATCTCATCATAGAAGGCAATCGGGTTGGGCATGACCTGCCCTTGGTGAATCCATGCTGACTGTTCCTAATTACCACCTTCTCCTTCAAGTGCATATTGGATTGCCATTCTCTTTAAGAAATGATAAATGCATTTTAAATTCAAACACTAAGCACAGTCCAGGAGAGAGTAGTTTATTAGGTATTACAATTGTCATTTATTTTTAAGAGGGTCTTTTCCCCCCAAAAAATGAAATTACACCAGCAGTTTATAAATTTAGCATATTTAGTTGCTTATATATTAAAGTCATATTTGAGATACATTGTTTAAACTTTAAATTGCTGTAAAATATTAATCTTAAATAACTTCATTGGAGTTTGGTTTAAGGAGTACAAAGAAGTACCCAAGATACAAATCCCATGATTGCACTTTGCAGTTTCCCCTTTTTAAAATGATCTAACAAATTTTTCTGAAAAAGATTAAAAACTGATCATGTTTTTTCAAAGCTACAGAAGAGAGGCTTTTTGGTTTTGTTTCTCTTTTCACACAGTTCCCACTGACATGAAGATATGCCTACATTGCAGTGTAATGTAGAGACACCTGAGCTGGCTTTTAAAAGGTCTTAGAAGCTGCCTAGTTCTGGCAGAAAGGAGCTTTGTGCAGGCTAATTGACTGTGCTTCTTGGCAGACTGCAATGGAGATATACTGTGGTTCTCCTGGCCAGCTTTACGGTAGTAGCTATAAACACATTGCTGGAGAGGCAAAGCTTGATATCTAAACCTGAAGCAAAGTGCACCATGGCAGCAGCTGCATATGACTGAGCAGACTCTTCAGGCCTATGTGACAGGAGCTTTAAGGGTGTGAAAATGAGCCCTGGTTCATCCAGGGGTAAATTTTGACACTGCTAGAGCAGGAGTTAAACTGTTTTGGGGGCTGTATTACACCTCTACAGCTTTTTCAAACTGGGACAGTTTGTATGCCCACAATTTTTAACCCATTTGCTTGTCCGTGGCCTTGAGATTCTGATTCCTTGCTTAGCTCATGAATGCCAAAGGTGTAACTGTTGTAGTAAAATGCAAAGGAGAATCTCTCAAATATGAAAAATTCTGCGAGCTTTCAGAACAATACATCTGTCAATGTACCAAAATGTCATACTTCCAACATGGCATTTTGAAAATTGGGCACAAGCATTGTGTTGCAAAACAAAATTATGCTCTCTCAAAATACACCTGCCAGAGAGGTTAGAGAATACAAAAGCATGCCCCCATTCACTTCAGAGATCACTTGGAAACCTGAGAAACCTCAAATTAGCGAAGTTAGCCACATACACTAATAAACCAGCGCTTACAAACTGAATGGATAACTTTGAAACCTGCCTGCCATCACCACCATGAAAATATTTTTTACACATGTCTAAGCTTCAGAAGCGAATATAGATATTTTACTCTTCAGGATTGCAGCGTGTGTGATGACAATGGCTAGCATTATCTCTAGGAGACCCTGCTATTGTAGGTTGCTCTGGGTGAAGTGTGGGATTGGACTGGCCTATAGAAGAAACTTGTCCAGGGTTGAAATGCAGCATGGTCCGGCACCAGTGTAATCCTATAGGCATTGTTTGTGCGTCTGTAGCGGTTAGTCCATGTGTTTACAGTTATCAAGTATCAGAGGATTTAACCTATTTGGCCAATCAGTGTTATTGGAGCCAGGGTACATCAGGGCATGCACCCCAATAATCTCTCAACTTTTTACTGTCTTAACTAAGCTTAGTTCCTAGCTTCCTAATTGTCAAAAACTCTTGAAGCTTAACACAGATGCATTTTGTAGAGTCATTTGGTGCTTCCAAAAATCTTTGTGCTGCAAGCAAAGGAATTAATGAGAATCCCTCACTAGAGACTTCAAAGCTTCGGAGGTACTCTTACCTTCATTATTTAAATTGCTTTGTTTACTTATCTAGTGAACAGTCTGTTTATATTAACAGTATTTTAACAACAGTTTTGGAGCTTTATATTAGGAAACTAAAGTCAGGAATCCTCTGAACACGCTGCATCTGAAACGCAGGGCTTTTTCTGGGGAGAAAGTCCAATGCTTACTCATTTAACAGCCTTAAGAGGTAGTCATTAAAAAAAAAAGTTAGTTAATCTTGATTCATTTTCTGAGTGTTTTTCTTCAAACCACCTGCATTTCCAACTGTCTTGATATCTGAAATGGTAGTGGACAAAGTGATGAGATGCATGAGAACTAGACTCAACTTGGGTGTGGCAGATGAGCATGGACCTACTTTTCAGTTAATAAGGAGGAATTCTAGGAATAATTCAGAAAAATCCAACCCAAGTCAAACACTTAAGATTAGTAAATTCTACTGTTAGTCTCCTGCTTCCTTGGAGATAACATTTAAAAAAAAATCAACCCATATATTTCACTCCGAAAGAGAGAAGAGGTTGCTTTGTGCACAAACGTCTCCAAATGACTTACTTGGCTGCTTTATTTACTGCTGAGTGAGAGAAACCCTGAAAAGACGAATACACAACCAGATGAACAATACACAAATCCTTTACATGTGTTCTGGGTGATTCTGCAGACACGAGATGAATTCCTGGACCAACCTACCCTCATAGCAGGTCTGATAGACACTTGCAAACAATGGAAACCTAAGAAGAGGATGGGGAGAGTTAAAAAAAAGTTTTTAGAGTTAATTTAAGAGACTCATAGATTATGTTTCAATAGAACATACAAGTTCAGAAAATGTATGGACTTTGACTCATTTATTATGCAAAAAAAAAAGGATGGAAGTTCTTAGCTCTGCATGTTGTTTTGCTACGGTTCTTTTTTTTTAAATCTCCCTTTATACAGGTTGGGTGGATCTTTTCTTCTACAAGGCTGCACTAACGATTGACTGGAGATCTACACGTGGGAGTGAAGCGTGGTCCCAAGAAAATAAAATTGGAGCAATTTAGGATGGTATTTTAAGACTGTTCATTTCTTGGGGATGGAAAGTGGTATGTCTATTTAGATCCAATGTTTAGCAAAACTGTAGGGCGAAGAGTTGTCTTGAAACTGCCCAACAGTTTCAATTAAAGGCTGAGAAAACTTGTACTTGAGCATCCTTCTCCCAAGCAAAGAAGAGGCAAGTCTGAATATTTTGAAGGTAAGATCAAGCAGAAATAAACCGTTAATACTTTTCTTACTGTAGCATTTAGAAAGATTTTATTTCCCTTTGCAAGCTGCCTTGAAAATTAATGATTGTACAGCTGCAAGCAGAATTGGTTTGGACCAAGTGTGTAATTTACCATACGATTAAAGGGATGCCGTCAGGTCGCTTTCGGTCCAACATTTAGATTATTTCAAAACAAGTCTCTCAGAAATCGAAAACCAAATAAATCTGCCTTAGTACAATTCTAATGGAAGAGTTTTTAAACATGCATCCTCTTTGCAGAGTTTGCTTGTCAGCTATTTCAGCATTGTGCTGTTGCAACAGAACTTGGAAACAAGTTCCTGCGCTGATGTTTTCACTGTGCAAGTTGAGGAAAGGCAACAGGTAATTTTAATTCACATTCTTTCACTTACATAACATCCAAAACCTGTTTAAAATTACTTTTGTATCCGACTACGGTTCCTTTGTGCCATTATAATACTAAAAAGCAGGGTTTCATAATTCAGTACACAAGCATATTTTGTTCGTGTATCATAATATGACAGAATATACTCATTACTGTTCGTTCTGTGGATGCTTTTGGTGTAAAGTGTACTGGTGACATCACCAGAGCATGAAATCCTATTTATTTACAAATCGGGTATCAAAGACACTACTATCCCTCAGGCCATTTTCCCAAGGGGACCATTGCGTGAAATACTGAATTTTGACGCATCGTTGAGCCAACATTTATGTTAATGCTGTCCACCTTCAACATACTGATTTTGGTATGAATTGTGCCTTGATGTGGACATCAGCCCTGATGGAAATGGACAGATCATGTACTTCACAGGGACTATTCATGTGAACTCCTAACTTTGTTGGCCAACATCATTTGTCACCCCCTCAGTCTATCATTTGGATATTTAAAGATCAACCTACTTACTTATCAACCATGTTTTTCTGTTTCAGAACCTTGTACACTTCAGCTGAAGTCTGAGGACCTTGTAGTTTTTGTCCATTCAGCATCTCCTTTTCCAACTCCTCGATAGACTACAAGAAGAGAGGGTGATCACTACAACAGCATGAAAAGCAGCTGCATAACTGAAGCCAGGTACACTCAAGATGGAGGGGCTCTAACAATGTAAAGCTTACCCCTGTTTTGCACTTCTGTCATAGACCAAATGCTTAATGAACAGAAGGTAGCAGGGAAGCTTGCACAGAAGTAACTCAGCATATTCTATAAACTGGGCTTTGATAGGAAGGAAGCAACAATCTAATTTGCTGTGCAAATGGAAAAGATTTTCATTTGCTCTTAAGCCAAGATGCTGTTGTCTCTTCCAGCTTCTAATGATCTTTGTTCTGCCCAAAGCTTCCAATCTTTGGGAAGCACCTGGAAAAACATGCTATGCTTTTTTCTCCGCGTCCGTCTGTAATTGGCAAAGGGAGCCCTGCAGCTAGGTTTATCTATCATCAAGAAGACAGAACACTAATGACATCTACATAATATGCTTCGTGATTTATTAGCACATTAATTTATGATGTCTCCTTACTTTTCCAGTGCGTACAAAGGCTTCTGCTACTTTCCTGTTGCGTCCCCCGTAGCATGTCGTGATTAGATCAGCAACCCCACAGCTCTCCAGAAAAGTAGCTATTGACACAGAGCCCCTGCAGAACAGCTTTGCAAAAGCTACCATTTCCATTAGGCCCAGACGAATCACTGCTGCCTTGGTATTATCGCCAAAATTCAATCCATCGCAGAACCCGGCTCCTACAGCTACTATGTTCTGCAATCAGTTTAATAGAAAATATACAGAAGAGAGAGAAACCATTAGGCATGTAGTTCTCCAACATCTGCTGATTGTAAGTGAACTCTGCCTTAAATTTGCACGTCCTTAATGATTCTGAGTATGCTTAATGCCCAATTATTCTCAAACATTAGGCAGCTAGACTTTTAAGAGCTAAAAACCCCCCACCCTTTTCCACTGTTATTTCCAGGTGTAAGAGTGTGGAAGTAGCTTGTTTTAAACCAGCTACTTGTTTTATTTTGGGTGCATGCAATTAATATTTTCCCTTTGCTGCCAATCCCAGATCCAGCACCCTTCTGTTTATAAGGCTGTTGCCTTCAATTAGCTCTTTCTTGGGTTTCCCCCTTCCAACATAATCTATAAACAAGCATTGGTACTATAGTCTCATGCTGCTTTAGAGCAAAGTTGGCAGATTCCTGCAGAAGGTGGAGTAATGTTTACCCACCCATCAAAGAAAATTAGTGTGGATCTTAATAAAAAACAGTATCCCCCATTTCTGATTCAGAGATGTAGTTCCCCGTGTGACAGTAATAGGGTCTTTGGTGCTGCTACCCCCAAGCGTGGTGTCCTCATATTTGCACACTCCAGTTCTGCTCTCAGCAAAGTCAATGCTAAAACTCTTATTTCAAGGAAAGCAGAACTAGAGCCTTTTCCTCAAAAATTACTCCAGTGTGTGGCTGGAAAGCCTATAGGGTACATGTATGTGCATATGAACAGGCAATGTGCTTCCAGGTAAATCTCTCAGAGCCAGTTCTGCTCTTGTCAAAAATGTTGCTTGTCAAGGTAAGTTGAGTGTTAACATGATTGACTGAGTTGTATGCAAGTTTAAAGTCCACTGCTCAGCACAAACTTAACTTCAGTGTGTTTTGTTTCTAGTGAGGTTGCATGCAAAGCTCCCACTTGAGAGAGGAGTCCCATTACTGCTGGGACGCAAGCGGCCCCCAGAACTTGGTCTCAGGGTAATCTATTTTATAAGGTGCTACCTGAACCTTGGACAAAGATATTTGATTAAATAGGTCCGTTATCCTGTGACCTCTTAAAACAATCAAGCTCCCAGGTGAAGAAAAGTCTAACTTGAATCCTATGTATGGCCCTGGCTTGAACAAAGCAGATGCATTCCTTTATAATTTATATTAAAACAGCACCTAGTGATAAGGGTTATGCTCTACTGGGGGCTGTTTGTACACAGGGTAAGTCCCGTGCCTAAAACTGACAAGAAAATATGATGGACTCAGTTCTGCCCTCAGAGGCAGGTGGTATGCCTGCAGTAGCAAAGTATGGTTGGGATTTGTTTTGAAGTCCCTTACCAACCTTGGTACTCTACATACATACTTATAAAATAGAAATAGCTACAGACATCATATGCTGGACAACTGGCAGCCTAGGCTACCAAAGAGCTTCATGGCAGAAGCAAGACTGGACCATGCAGCCTCCATCTGAGGGTAGAATTCAGCCTTAATACAATGCATTTGGTTAGGAAGTACTAACTTTTAAGGCTCCACAGATCTCCACTGTATCACAGTCATCCACCACGGCAATCCTGAAATTTGGGGTTTGCATTAATTCTTTAAAGATCTGTCCGTGCTTTTCATTTTTGCACCCTGCAAAAGGAAAGATGAAAGTTGCATGTTTCTTGCTCCACAGGTTACAGGGTGAAGAAAATGTCTATGGTTAAAAAAATACAGAGGAAAGGGAATAGGGATGGTTTGGGGCAGGGGCATTAAACCACGTAATTGGACACTAGTATGGGGGGATTTATTAAGTAAAAGCAGTTCTCACAGCTGATGGCCAGTAACAGTGCATGAGTTGAATACTTGACCAACAATACACTTGGAGAGGTTAATGGCAGATGGCCTCCAAAACCATGTGTGCCCAAGACTTGCCCTTGTATCACTGCAGCTTTGTCAAATGTTGTTTTTCTGGTCTAATCCCTTAAGGAGACAACTTGGCGCTGCCTTGCTCAAATATGCCTTCAGCTCCTGCAGCCCCACCCAGCCCAGTGCTGGGTGAAATTCCTGAGCTCTGACTCTAGCTTGGCTACTGCTTCATAGTTAGAGCACAAATGAGTCACTTAAATCCTCCAGGCAGTCTGCTAAGAGGCTATATTCAGATCATATTTGCACATGGCTCTAAAAATGTAAACATTGCTAAGTATTAACCTATAGGGGCAAATGCTTGATGCCAAATGCATTCTCACTTGAGGGGAGACCCTAAGACCAGGATGTTCAGTGTTTGCACTTCTGCAGTAATGTCATATTACCAGCCATACAAAGGTCATGTGTAGCCTCATTAAAACACTCGAATTTGGCACAGAGATAAGGGCTGGCTGGCCCTGAATAGCAGTCCTGTTGAAGGCCTCCATTGCTTCAAGGAGCTTCATTAAATTCTGCAAGGATCTTTGAATGGTGCTTTTACCCAGTTTTTAGACAACTGGACTGGATTTTATTTCCAGCAGTGCTCTGCACGACAAATCATCAGCTGCCATTCACACATCCTGGTGCAATTTCTAGGCATTCAGTGTCTCTGACAATCAAGCCCTATGTTCTCAAATAAAATCTGCCCTGGGCTCAGTGGTCTTGTAACTTCCCTTCACATCCAGGCTGATATCTGCACCCTCTTTTTTTCCAGCTTGTCAGTGTGTGTGATTCTTGGTGACGGGATCTCTGACCTGCATGGATTCCAAAGGGTGGAAACTCTTTGAGAGGGGACCAGAAACAAGGGGCAAACTCTTCTGTATGGTCCTTCTCAAACCTAGAGTTCAAACTTAAGCAAGGTAAGGATAAACTGTCCCCATACAATGAATGTTTCTCAGTGAATGTTCCTAATGGTCTAATTACACCCTCTGAGAGCAGAAGCTGATAGGATGGTGGATATTTTGCTCTTTCTACCATAGTGTGGGCATAAAATGTTCAAAGATTTGTACAGACCACTGGGAAGAGACAATCAAGTTGCCCAATGTTGCGCATGCCGGTTAGATTCCCATAACAGATTCTGTAAGTCATTATTAAAACTTTCTAAGTAAGCTCAGACCCAACGCTCCACCACACCTTGTGCTCAACAAGCAGCTTGAGGGGGAGGGAGGAACAGTATTATAACTTCAGTTACAAAGAGGTAGGACACTGAAAACATTTTCAGCTTGGGGAATGGTGCACCTTCAATACACATAGAGCTTGTACTTTCCAGTCCAGGATATCAACATTGTATGGGCTTAGTAAGATCTCTCTGGCATTAATAGGAATCTCTTTATTCCTGTAGGAGCAAATTGAGCTCTAACTTTAATGGAAGGGAATAACAAATTGCTGCCAATATAAGAATGTGCAGTCATTTGGGTGTGACCTGACATCCGCTGAAGTAGATAGAAATACTGCCATTTCCTTTGGGGAAGGGATCAGATATGTTTGCACATGCTGGTATGCCTACAGCTAGAACTGTCAAAGCTTCTCCTGTTTCCAGTACAGGTTATGCTCTGATCCTCTCTGCAGACACTGGGCTATGTCTCTGCCAGGGATTTCACGCTAGAAATGACTGCTCACGGTAGAAGGTATTTGGAGCTCCGCGGCTGTAACTCTCCCTGAATGGTACTTACCGATGGTGGTTTCACAGAACTTTTCATCAGCCACTTCACTGGCTATGTTGGCCCCCATGAGCACGCTGACTTCTATTTTCAGCTTCTCTCGAATGATGTCAGATATCAGCTTCAGGCCTTCAGGGCCCTCATCCACCCCCTGCATAAAAGGTAACATTTGATGTCAGATTGTTGGATAAGAAAAATGGTAGTGATGGGGTATCTGTGTAAGAAATGTAGCTCCTTTGCCTGTGTATGGTGGTACTGGGAGTCATTTAGATGAAAGGACCAGGCCCTGTCTTCATGGCAATGTTAGAGTGCTGCTTCTAACCCAAGACGCATGTAGATGCAAATCACTAGCTTGTATTAGGTGATGCTTTATACTTGAGCTGGCTGGCCTGGCCTTTTGGGGTCAGGGTATTGCTGACATTCAGGATGATGCCCTGGGGACACGACTGATGCTCTGTGCTGTTAATACAAATGCTCTGCTGTTCTCCCATTGCTTTCAATGTCACTGCTGTCGCTCCTGGAAGAAACTTGAGCTAACACTGCAGTAACAAAGACCAACCCTCATGTTCAGGCTACTGGCACAAGGCTCTACTTTGCAATGCTGACTTCTTTCCTTTCTGTGTTAACCTTTGCTACCAAGGATCCATAGCTCTAAAATAATTAAGCCTTCAAGTACTGCGTTTCACTGTTCTTGTGCAAGATTTGTGTGAATTTACAGGCAAGACTGAAAGTTACCACTCAGTTACTTCATGAGCTGTTCTGCACTGATGGCTGTGCACTAGTGGTGTATTCTGAACAGTGAAAACCTGGGTCATGTATCAGCTGGCACCTGACAGTCTACCTGGGTAGGAAATAACTTTCTGTGACTTAGTAATTCTATTATGTGGGACATCTACTGAGAGATCAGGTTAGTAACAAAGAGAAAGTTGATTCCTGTCTCCAGAAAGCAAAGGCAGCCTTTGCCAAACACCTAAGCAAACCCTGAGGCAACCAATGTCTTCATGCAGTTTAAGCTTTGCAAGGCTGGGTTTCCTTCTATTTTGCTTCCTGCGTGTGAAAGCTGGACACTGTCCAGGTAACATTTTGGGTATTTGGAAAAAGTCTGCCAGCAATCCTTAGGGGACCCTTGGACACGTTCCTGGGAATCCAATGGTGAGGGGCAGCAATGGTTGCAGTGCTGAAACGCTGATGGTGAAGGTGCTGGGCTGTTGGGTGGACTGGATCGTGTGTGTGAGCAACAAAGCACACGACTAAGCCCCCTTTGGAGAAACTGGCAAGGTCCGTGGCAGACCTACTGCAGCTGTGCCTTGTTCAGAGCACGGTGCCACCTGGCTGCTGGTAGACAAGCAATGCCATGTGAGGATCAAAGAGGGGCTTGACTTCTTCTGGCAGCAAAGCAGTGCTGATCTGGAAGGAAAGCACAGTAGGCTGCAGGAGAGAGTGGCAGGAGCCACTGGCCACACCTCTGCCCTTGAATTGCAGGCAGCAGTGCAAGCAAGGAGGTTAAAGCTTCTTGTTGCAAGTTGGCCAAGTGAGTTATGTGCATGCATTGCACTGCGGAGGATTGAGCAATGTCTCTCTCATCACACTGAGACAGCTGGATTGATTAACTAGCTTTTGCCTTTGCTGGGCCAGCCCCAAGTCTCAGGGACTGGGAACCACGACGTCCTATGAAAGGGGAGACTGCACCTTTTTCACATGAGACCCGAGGAAGGGCAGTGCATGCTCAAAAGCTTGTTTAACTTCTCTCCCAGCTATGCACATAGTCCAATAAAAGATATCACAAAAGAACCCTGGCCTCATTTCACATCAGGAAGTATGCCAGGCTGCAGCACTGCTTCTCGCAGGAGAATTTTTCAAAGAAAAAAATGCTGCAGAACCGTAGGTCTGAAGACTAATTGTATTTCTTTCAACTTGTGTCTTTTGATTGATATTTTCTATAGCACAATCCAAAGTAGACACCCTGGAATGAAAAGCATGTAGTTTTGCCTCCAGCTTTTAGTTTGGATTTTTCTCTCCCTTTTTTAAAATAACCTCATCTCAGATTTCTTTAGCTTTTAATAAAGATCCTCCAATAAATCCCAAATGCACATCACTTCAGTTCTACAAAACCAGTTATAGACACAATCATGCAGTTTGCATGCTGCCATGAGCAGTCTTGGGAGGAGAGAATTTATGTAATATATATTCAGCCTGCTTTACACCTGTAGCAATTCCAGTTGGGAATAACTGCATTTATCCTTGGTTAAGGATTAGAGTTTTTGGCCCCAAGGCTTACACCAAGCATACTTATTTCTTCACGGCAGACTGAAGCTGGTAGGGACCACAAGTTACCTTGATCAAGGAAATTCCAAATGCTCCTGGTTTTATGTGAGCCACAATCTGGTCACAAATTCGTGAAATGAACTGGTGGGGTAAAACAAATATCAGAATATCCGCCCCAGTTGCTGCTTCTACTGTGTCTGGTACAGCTACCTAGGACAAAAGTGATAAAACAAATGAACCTGCTCTTATTTCTGCAGAACAATCACACACCCAATTCACCACATAAGGCTGTTAAAACACACACCCTTTAATTAACAAATGGTAAGTTTTAATACCACCAGTCACTGCATTTCATCTCAAAATGCCCATAAAGGCAGCCCCTCCTGTCTTTGTAAAAAATCTCACCCCATGCCAAACCTCGTGGAGACGACTGGGGAAAATGATACAACCTTTACTTGTGTTACCTTCCTGGGGGCCCCTTTCAGGCCCAAGGCCCTCCATTTAAGATGTCGTGTTTTTTCGCACACTATACACCTCCCGAATAAAACAAGCACCGTGTTTTGGGAAAGCAGAATGAAGAAAAAAAAAATACGTTTCCAGTTCCTGGTTGTGTGGAGCAGGGGCAGAGTCTACTCTTCAGCTCACTTGCCTTCTCTTTCCTACTCAGACAAGAGCTCAAATTTTAACTCTCTCGCACTCCCAAATTGCTCAGCCAAAAGCCACTGCCAATTTGGTAGTGGCCGTGGGAGTTAAAACTCCAGTTATGACACTGAGGGGTAGATCTGCCCCAGCTGCCTGCTGTCCAAGAGACAAGTGACAGCCATTGAAGCATCACTGCTTCCATTCCAGCACATAAAACTGCTTCCCTGCTAAAGGCATGCAGTTAATTTTGGGGGGGAAGTTGCATGTGGCATGTGAGTAAGTATGGCAGGCATGTGCCCCTTGTGCTGCAGGCCCACTGGAGCCGTGCTGTGAAGCAGTGGGGAACTAGCGTGGAGATCAGGTGATCCTGTGATTGCCTCGGTTTCATGGCAGGGCCCCAGGGCCACATCATGAAGGTAAAGCAAGGGTAGGCTACCCCCAGCACAGGTGCCAGAGCATGGCACGTGAAGGCATTTTGCTTGGCACGTGTGCTTCAGGGCAGACAGTGGGGAAGAGCCTGGGGCTGCATTGCCACAACAAGGATCGGGCCCCTCGCGGCTCCCCTGCCATCCACCCCCGGCACGCCAACATCTTGCAAGTCAAGGCTGCGGTGTTCTTGGCACCCTGCCCAAAAACAATGCCGACCCCTGGGGTAGAGAGTTACTTCCTTTACCTTGGTGTCAGAAAGAAACTCCACGAAGGGATCCCTTGCACTTTGGCCTAATATTTAGAAAATGAATACAAACATGCCTTGGAGCTGGCAGGCTCTATCCTGCCCCAAGCCTTATCTAACCCCAGCTGGAACAATAACAAAACCAGGGGATAGGAGGGAAACAGCAGCTGAATGTGACTGCTGCCGTTATCAGTAGCTTCCCTTGTAATCGGAGACAATGTCCCCCTAGAAGTGGGAACTTCCATCTGAGCAGAAACAAGAGGACAGCACTTTCAGTTCTCCATAATCCCGGTGTCCGGCACTCTCTGCACTGGTTCCTTCAGAGCCGATTTTGCATTTGTTTAAGAAACAACAACAGATCACGCCCCAGTGCCTCGTGACACAGGGATCGGGAGTGAAACATGCAGTTAGCTATTCCACCCAGTCCAGTCCTTCAAAACCTGGTAATGGAAATACTGGTTACGTTAAGCTACTGAAATGAAGTTAGCCACGTGAACCTTTTTCCTGCAGTACCAGTTTGAGATGAACAGGGATGCTTCTAACCTAAGGTCTGAAGACCTACTCAGCTTCTACAAACATGCCTGGGCCATAAAACCCAGGAGGGGCAGTGGCCAGAGGGCCAGTGGGAAGGCTCCTGCTGAACTGGCATCTAGCTTGTTAGAAGGCTTGGGTGGGTGGTGCAGGTAGCTCCTGAACTCCCCCTGTCCTTGTTCACCTCCTCGGCTCCTCTCCTTCGGTACAGCAGCAGGGCTCATATTTGGGCCATCAGGTTCGCCATCTCCTTGGGGCTGTTGTGAATACATGCATTCCTGTGGGACGTGCATTTGCTTTACCCCCTGGGGAGGAAACATACCCCTGTTCTGGGACCAGGCAGCAATGAGCAAGCATGAAGCTGGATCTCAGTGCAGAGGCTGTGAGCTGCAGGAACAAATATGGCTGGGCGCATGAAAACAAGATGGACTTCTAGTTACTTGCACCCCTACAGGGCAGGGTTCAAAAATGCTGTCAGGCAGCTTATTCTGCTCAAGGCAAGGCTGCACTGTGGGATTGCAAATGGAGGACTGCGCATAAGGGCACGAGTACACGTGCATTGACACTGTCACTGTGCTAACATCATTGTGCCACAGGGAATGGGGAGCTTATGCCACTCTGAAGTGAGGGAGATGTTTGCTAGAAAAAGAGCTGGTCGACAGGAGCCTGGCAGCCAGATCCTGTTCTACCTATTGGTTACCTAAATGTGACCCTGTTCCAACCCATTCAAATCCCAGAAAAAGCCTGAATGCATTTACTTTCGTAATGCACCGCCATCTAGAAGCAAGTCAGGAAAAGAAGTGAAGGGGAAGATGCACCCAATGTTTCCATTAACAGTTTTTCAAGGCCTTGCACTAGGTGGAATAAGCTTTTGGGCACCAAAACGCACTTCGGTGGCTGATAGTTGGAATACGATCTAGCCCTAAATATGAACAAGGTACTTTTGCCTGGTCCAGCTTTCTAGTTCAGGAAGGGGGAGGCTGATACACAGATAAGAATAAAACACTGTGCTTGAGGGTTGTTTTCCATTTGTTTGACTTCAGTTCTCTAGATGCCGGACTAAGAAGAACTAATCCACATTCCAGCTTCAAGTCATGTGAGTAAAAGCGCGTTGTTAGAGTACTAAATTTAGAAAAGCTAACCACTCTGCACATGACAGATTTCTTTTCTTGCAATGTATAAACTCCCTATTGCGCAAATTCAAAGCTACTCTGGAAATGCAGCAGTAGTTTCCTTACTTCCCACAACACTGTTTTTTGGCACGTTCCCAAACACGCAAAATGGTACCTTGCTTGCTTTAAATCAAACAGCTATAAATTAGTATATTTCCTTAAGTTTACACAGCTATCCATAATCTTGTACAATTACACATTTCAACAAGCCATAAAAAGGAAACAGCTTTTGCTGGTTTTTGCGTAACTGCCTTCCGAATTGAAATGCCTCCATTTTTCTAGCCTGAGCTCATGCTTATAATGACAGCGGTGCTTTTCCTACTGTTGCATACGAGGCCTGTAAGCTCTTCCATTGAACTCTGACCTAGAAAGGGAAGGGAGAATTACAACAGCCTTTCGTGTAGACCAAATCCAACAGCAGAGGTCTATAATTGCTGATTTACAGCAGGCAAACATGTAGCTCTGGACATTTTTGCCTATAATTTTTGCAATGGCAGATCCCCTGTAATTGCTGATTTACAGCAGGCAAACGTAGCTCCTCTGCATACCTGTCCTCAGTACAGCTAAATGTTTGAATGTCCAGTAGATGAGATGTGTAGGAGAGGCAAATAATGGGTAAAATTCAGAAACGAGGAAAATAGTGGAGTAAATTAGGCAGCAAATAAATATAATTAGCCCTTTCCTACTCTGAATGCCAAGTATTTATTATGAGGTAGGTAAGTCTGCAGTTAAGGTTTGCACTTAAAGCAGGACTGAAGTCCCTCTGGGTCATTTACTTGTAAATGATCAAAGGAAGTGGACTTCAATTGTAGGGAGTAAGATCCCAACAAGGGAATCTAGCTGGCCTTCATGCAATCTGTCCTCCAGTCACTACAGCCGTCTCCACTTCAATGTTGCTTTTGAAAAAGCCAACCCAGGATTGTGAAAGCCTGGTTCTAGCTCCACCGTCCGTTTAGTGGTTTATTTAGCTTACCACATTATGAGGTAACTTGTGTCCTGGGAGGTATTTCACATTTTCATGGTCTTTGTTTATGATTTCGGTGAGTTTCTTTCCATTTATGATCTCTTCAAAGACCCACATCTTCACAATAGGATCAAATCGGTTGGACCGCTGGACATTTTTGCCTATAATTTTTGCAATGGCAGATCCCCTGTAAAACAAAAAGTACCATCAGGAGGGTTCTGTATATTAGCTCTGGAATAATCTTCCTAAGGCAGTGGTTTTCAACCAGGGTGCCACTAGATCTTTTATGGGTGTTGCAGGGTGCTGTGCAAAATGATCACTGTCAGGTGAGCAAGCATCTGTGCGTGGATTCACAAGATCAACCCGTGAGATTTCAAACAGGAATCCAGCGTGCCAAGAGCATTGGGACCTGTGTGGTCCGAGTTCTTTGCAACGGAGGAATTACTCTATTAGTTTTCCAAAGTCAAAAACCGAGCAGAAGCTGAGAGCTGGCGTTTTCTGAGGAACGCCCCGAGTCTAACAAGGTTGATGAATCCTCCGACTGCAAGCAAAACCTGCATTGAGCACACGCAGCTTACAAGAGATGTGTGTTACACAAATTATAGCCATGTTTATGTGCTTGCTAACTTGAAAAAGGAGGTTAAGTCATTACCCTCAGGGAAGAATATACCCGCTACAGATGTACAGAAAATGTATCCAGAAATCCAGGGTAACTTCAAAGGCCACTGAGTAGAAGGCAAAATGTAGCATCAGATAGGAGGAAAAATAACATATGGGACTGATTTTTGTCAGCGGTACTGAGCAACCACTGACCCTAACAAATTCAAATCAGTGCTTACAGCTTTTCAGTTCCCACAGCTGATGCATCTGGGTCTGAACACAGAATATACAATACTCTTTTTTTTTCTCCTCTCCTTATTTACTTCTAAAATGGCGAAAGAAAAAAATATAAATTGGCCTACCCAGTCTAGAAGGTGCTGGTGAGTAGTTTCAGTTCACACAACCCCTGCATGTCTCATTTGAATGTATCAGACTTTTCTATCGGTAATGGAATAGGCACGCATCAGGGAGGGCTGTCCTTGGGGACGCTCTGCTCTAAGGGAACACTTGTCCAATTTAAAATGCTCTTTGTTTAAGTCTATGCCTATTTTACAAAGGAGACCAGAGATGGTAAAAGTCTGAAAAAATGTTAGCTACCTAATTTTACTTGTTGCCATTTATGCTGTATCTCTAGGGTAAGAGGAAAGCACGTAAACCAGGGGCGGGCAATTTTTTTGGAGGGAGGGATGCTTACTGAGTTTTGGCAAGCCATCTAGGCCTGCGTGACAGGCAGCCAGGGCCAGATAAATATTAATTTTCTAAATTTTTTAGGGGCCCCATGGGCTGGATAGAATGGCCTGGCAGGCTGCATCTAGCCCCCGGGCCGCATTACACCCACCCCTGATGTAAACAGTGACATTCCCTGGCTTCATTTTCCTTGTGTACCAGCACAGTGCTGTAAGGTTCGATTTATGACCCTAGTAGTAAAATATTTAAATAAAGCAAAAAATCTAGGTGGCTTATGAAAGGCGAGCATGAATATATTGGTTACATTTTTTAGCTCAATTTGATCTTTAAAGACCTGGCTAGACTACAAATACAGAGTCAGCGTGCCTGGTTACTGATCCAGTTGTGAGACTGTTGCACTTAAGAGCCTGACCAGGACTTAATTTTGTTACTTGCTTTCAGTAGTTGATCCAGGATTAAATCCAATTAGGTCTATCTGTGCTGTATTTTGTAACTGCTTTGTAAATGGGTGAAAGGAAAACCATGTTGTAACTGTCTCCCTTGTCTTCAGTAGATTATGACATGATGGGCTTGCACAAGGCCAATTGCTAATAAGCAATAAAATAATTTAAGAGCAGGTTGGACAGATACTTGTCTGAGATGATTTAGTCAGAGATGATCCCGCCTAGAGGCTAGACTGCATGACCACATGAGGTCCCTTCCAGCTCCGTTTTCCCATTATCTTAGTCCTTATTCATATAGAAATCCTACTGAGGCCAATGTGTATTTTGCCTACGAGTTAAGTGCAGGGACAATGTTATACCCAGCTACTCAACACCTCTAGCCGGTGTTGTGAAGCTTTCAAGTCCCTTAGAAATGAAAAGCACTTAGGTAGATATTTAAGAGAGGGGGAAATCTTCAGCTAAGGACCATAAGCAGGACATAAGAGCTGTACCACTTCCAATCACTACGTTTGCTGTTTGTTGTCTATCTCCCATCCAAATGGGAGACGCAAAAGGAGGTGTGATTGTTTAACAGGGGAAGTCTGGGGATGAGCAGTAGAAAGAAAAGGGAATGGGCTTGTGCCTGGGACATGACATATGGATCTTCCTGTTCTATTGCAGATCCCCTTCGTGATCTTGGGTATGTGATTCAGTCTCTCATTTCCCCCATCTCTAAAATGGGGATAACAAGCCCTCTCCCCTTTTCCAATCTTGTTTCTTTTAGACCAGGAGTGGGCAAAATGCGGCCTGCGGGCCGGATGCGGCCCACCAGGCCATTCCATCCAGCCCACAGGACCCCTAAAAAATTAGAAAATTAATTTTTATCTGCCCCTGGCTGCCTGTCATGTGGCCCTTGATGGCTTGCCAAAACTCAGTAAGCGGCCTTCTGCCCAAAATAATTGCCCGCCCCTGTTTTAGACTGTAAACTCTTTAGGGCTAGAAATGTCTCCTACTGCATGCGAGGAGGGGCTTGGCTTTCAGTCGGAGCCTCTAGGCACTGCTGTAATATAAGAAGTTGGCCTGATTTTTCATAGGTGCTAAATAGCCATAACCAACCCCAAACTACTGCATTATAATGGCATGCTGCTGATATTGCCATCACCACCAAAATGGTCCTTCAGGTACTGTGGGAAAAAAAAAATGAACAGAAACTGCTTGTTCTGGTCTATGCTTTCCAACCTCCCAAAAGCGGGACCATAAGGCTAGACTCTGCACCTTTTATTTTTATGTGGAAAGATGAAGAGTCTAGCATTATGGTCCCACTCTTAAAGCTTTCAAGGGGCTGGCAGCTTTGAGTCTGTCCCTTCAGAGTTGTTGTAGTTGATGGGTGCTCAAATGTTGCTGGAGAGATTTTGACACGGACAGGGTTGTGACGCAAGGGAATCAAGGTCTCCAAAGTCATTATTTTGAATCGTTTATTGGATGGTTAGCAGGCAGCAGGGAAAGATCCTTAACAGGAAACACAAGAAAACTCGCAGTCACATAGCTCAAAAACCAATGCTCCATTTAACCGAATGTGTTTGAAATTCACAGTCATCACTCACCAGCCTCAGAAAAGGAACTGCTTTATGTGCAAAACCGGTCTTCAACAGACCACACAAGCTTGGCACAGCAGGTTCACTAATGCAAACAAAACCAAGGCCACTCCCTTAGAAAACCTTTACCTACTTCATTCTCCAAAGGTCAGCTAATCAACGATCAGTCCAAACCAGATTAGCTAACTTTTGATTAGATAACTTTTAAAGGAAAACCCAAAACCTAACATATTAAAAAATCACCAACGGCTTTTTATCAAATTTGGTTCGTCTCACTTTGAAATAATATGCTTATTATCCCAGAATAAGCATCTCCATCTGAGACACTTGAGAGTTATAATTATATCAGCTTCATAAAAACAACCTCCTACATAGCCAACTTTGGGAGGAAGATGTATATCTCACATAGTGCATGAAAGTAAAAATGTATAAAGGCATTTGCTTATCAAAGTATTAAAATGTATATAGGCATCTCAATGGAAGACATTTGCTTATCTGTTAATGGGAATGGAAGGCATTGCACCTCTTGCAGGATCAGATTTTGTGATCCTGTAATTTAGAAACTTATTCACATTGTAAAACCGAGGAGCAGAGCCATCACCCTACCGCTCTTTTGCCTTGCTGGCAGCTACGGACATATGGCTTGGCAGTTGATTTACATAATCAAATTGGGGGCAAAGCTGCTGACAACATTAACGTACTAAAAGTCATCGTGACCCACTGAGTTTCTGCAGCTAGCAGCAGCTGGTGAGACATCGTGCTATGAGTCAGCTTGGGCTGCTGTGGCTCACTACAGATGTTTGAACTGTTACCTAAATCCTCTGATAAAGGCAGTAGATGACTCCAAAACTGAACGCTGGGCTGAGAACTGCATTCTTATTCATTATTGGTAAGTTCTTTGTGCCTCGTGTTACTCGGTTTTGTTTAAACAGTGAACAAAAATATAGTCTGTGCCCCACAGAGGTAACAACTTAAGTATAAGGCAATAAGCAGATGGATACAGATAACCTGAGGGGTACACGGGAACAGTAGGCACATTGACCCACTGAGACTGTCACCAAAAAATAAACCCCAACCACTCACAAATCCACCAAGGCAGTGAGGAGCTACTTTTTGGAAGTAGTCTCAAAAACACTGCAAACTCAATGCAGATGTTGCTTGACATGGCCTGAACCAGAAGAAAAGCAAGAGCTTAAAATCTACTGAAGTTTGAAGAAAAAGAAACATGGGCAGATCTAGCATTCTGCAAGCAGGGGGTGCAGATGGCGAGATGAATCACTACATATAAAACAACACATATTTTTCTCCAGTTAAAAATAAACTAGAAGCTTTACTAATATGTTAAGGGCCTTGGGCTGTATTATTCCGTTCAAGATCGAAGCAAAAACAAATATAACGTAACTGGAATCAGTTTAAAAACAGTCAGCCTGGCTGTGAAATAGGAGCTTCGTTACCAGGAGCAGCTCAAAGACAGCAGAATTGCAGAACAAAAGCGAGCCTGATTGATGGAACATGAAGATCATTAAAAAGAAGAGAGAGTTGTTGACACCTGTAAAATGAAGAGTTTACAAGGGAACAGGGAGATTATAATGAACTGTGAAATCAGTTGAACCCCTCAGCACTGCCTGCCTAGAAATGCTGTTGCCACTGCCAGGCAGTTATTTCTAAACTTTGGGTGGAGCAGAAATCAAAGTGGGGTGCAAGTTCACCAGTGCACCCTCTCCGTGGATCTGTCCCTGAAAAGACCTATTGGTTTCAGTGGGCACATCTACATGTGCATTAGTATACCTTTTCTAATGTGCATTAAATCTGATACCTCCAATGGTAAATGAATGTTCATTAGGATGCACTAATGAGCAGTAGCGCATTTGCACGCTTTTTTA